CCCCTTCCTGGGAGGAGAGCCGAAGCCCGAGCGAGCCGAGGCAGGAAAAGGCAGCCGTGGACTGCCCGGCTCGCAGATCATTTTTATTATCGAGATCATTATTAAAAGAGGGCGGGGAGCCCAGGATGCGGGGGAGGGGGCTAGAGACGCAGCTATTTTTATTAAACAGATTATTCCTGAAATAATAATACGCGCAAGATGGCTGAAGGTGGCTGTGATGAGAGTGTTGGGGGGTTTTTTCTTCCTTTTTTTTTTTTTTTTGATCTGAGGATAAAGCTCTGAGGCGCCAGCCGCTGCGGAGACCTTGCCCGGAGTGCCCTCCCCAGATGAGAAGCAGCGGGCGGACAAACGGACCTACCGACGGAGCAACTGGCGCGGGCCCGCCCCGGACGCGTCGCCTGGGCAGCAGCCGGGGGCCGCGGGCGCTCGTCTTTCTGCCGACTTCTTCCAATTCTAATCTTTTTTTATATTTTGGAAAGAACCGGGGTGGGTGGAGCAGAGGTGGAGAGAAATCGGGACTTGGCATTTTCTCCCTTCTCTCTCTCCTAATTTGAGGGAGGCTGCCAGCCCTCCCCTTAAAAAAAATCCCACCACAAAAAAAAAAAAAAACACAGAGAGAGAAAGAACGCTGCAGGACCCTCCAGCGAGCGCGCTCGAACCCCCGGCCGCCACCGCGGCGGCCGCCGGGAGCCCAAGATGGCTGGGCGCTGAGGGAGGCAGTCCGACTCGACTGGCTTGGCCCGGCCCCGCCGCCGCGGGCTGGCTCCGACCGCAGCCCCGAAGGCCGGAGGAGAAGCCGAGAAGAAAAGAAAGGGGGGGGGGGAGGGGGGCCGGGGTGGCGAAGGGGGAGGGCCGGGGGGAGGGGAGGGCCGGGAGCCGAGCCTCCTGTTCATTAGCAGTTGAGAAAAATTCCTTTCTAGTTTGATCAATCCTTGTTTTCCTCGGCAGAGCCGGGGCGCCCGCCCAGCGCGGAGACGGAGAGCGGGGTCTCTCGCGGCGGGGGCGCCCGGCGCCGGGCCTCGGGGGAGCGCAGAAGTAGCGACGAGGGGGTCAGGCCGGAGCACCGACGGGGCTTCTCCCTCCCTTTCTGGTTGGTTTTTTTTTTTTTCCACTTCTCTCCCTCCCCCTTCCGTTTCTATTTGTGAAGGGAGGAGGAAGGCAGAGGCGGGCTGGTGTCTCTGGCCGGGGACTGGAATTTCATCTGAATGACTGCCCCTGCGCTCACGCAGTGCCCCGGAGTCGGCCCGCCTGCGCCCCGCAGCCCGCACCCGCAGACGGCCGGCCAGCCGGGGGGCGCCCGCGCTGCGGCCGGGGGACCGGCTTTTTTTTCCCTCCCCCTCC